TGGGATGGTTTTGACCATTTCGCTTAGTCAGATGTAAAAGGCCTTTGACTAAATGAGGCGAGTCAATTGACTAATTTTGCAAAGTCAGTCGTCCACACTGTACTATGACTAATTAAAATATGTCCTTCATAATTTCTGACCAACCTAAGCTTTGTCATTTCCCGCCTTTATAGTCGGCTTATTACATTTAGGCGGGAACTTGCATACGCATTCGTTGTATGTACACGGTACGCGTTGTACATGTACTATACGCCGCGCAACGATCATTCTTTCGTAAAACTGATGATCATCATGCATCAGGCCTAGCTACAGCTCCGCTCTAATTGAGGGATATGCATGGCAGTGCTACAAAATCTCACCCCTGTCAACTTGACAATGTCGAACTCAGTGCAAAGGTAGGCCACAATGTGTTTTCTATTTGTTGATTTAGATTAATTATTTGTCGGAAGTTGTTAGGCTAGGCCTGGGGACATGAGCTGGGAGGGAGTAGGATTGAGCCTCGCATGCAGGTTTAATCCAACCCCGTCCATCGCCTCCTCGTACGTCCGTCCGTATCCGTTCAGCTTAGGCTAGGCCGGGCCGGCACTAGGCCGGACCACATTATAAACCAGGAATGACTGATCAGGTCTGAGCACTTGCATATGGTCTTAAGCGTTGTTAGAAGAGCCGATCGACGGGTTCCCGTAATGCTCCAATTTCAAAATATTCGTAGGCTTAGCCTGTACGTACGTACTTGTTTAACATAAACATGATGAACGAGCTTTACTGCATGCAGCAGGCGCAAGGCCGAGGCCGGCTAGGCATATGCGCGCAGGCACAATTTTTACTGGAGCTACGTACACCTACGACTGTTGCCTCTCATTCAATTTTGGTCAAGAGCGCACGCGTAATATGCGGGCGCACTTCAGACTGATTATAATTAATTACAGGCAACAGCCACCAAGCATTTTGGCAAAGTTGACGCACGCGCACGCTCAGTGGATACATGACCCATGACCTCAAGCATGCATCGTATCGTACGCGCGTGCAATGCAGTCGCGTCGTGGTCGTAGACTCGTACCGTATACATACATGTACATGTACATGTACGTACATGACACGCATGCATGATGACTGGTTGTGCTTGTTTTGCGGTGTGTCGATGTCCACACTACAGATACCAAAACAGTACATGTACATGTACATCCATCAATTTTTCAATTAATCTGCTAATGCTATCATGGCTGGATCCAAAATCTGAATGAAAAGGGACAATATTTGGGTAAATATAGACCTAGGCCTAGTTAGTGACTAATTTATAGCTTGAAATGTCCAGCTTTTTCTTAATTGTCCATGACACATGGGGAGATTTTCAAGGCAAATCTCCCCATGTGATGTCACGAGCCTAAAAAAAACACCTGGAACTTTAATCAAGCTACATAGGATAGTTTTAATCAGTGACAGTTAAATTTCTGGGAATTATTCCCATATATCTGGCCATATTATCACTTGTCACCATGTGCACATACACATATACAAACTGTACTGAGAGTTGAGACTGGTCTGAACATTTGTGTTTTGTCAGTAAGTACTTCCATATTTTCCTTGCTAAATTTGACTTTTCATGACATTTCTGATGGCTGATAGGTCACTGAACTAGGCCAGATATATGAGAATCTTTCCATTTTGTATCAATGTTAACAAAATCCGAGGTCCATGTTTTATTCGTAACAACTAAAAGATTAATGTACTTTTTTTGTCAATAAGACTATTTAGCAATAACAATTTAAATTATTAATTTTGAACATTTCCTATTTTCTTTCAAACATCCAGTACATATGCTGAGCTGTCATCATAACCTGAGCTTATTCTCATCGTTCCAACTTGGTTCATTTAGGCAATTTTGTTAGTTTATTCATGATCAGACTTTGAAATTTGTACACAATTTCTACAAGATAATTGTTACTTTTCAGAAACTGTCAGCACTTTTTAAAAAAATTATTGTTGTCCTCTGTACTGCTTTCCCAGCCATCTCCCTTTTCCTTTTGTCCTCTCATATATATCTGTAACACCTCTCTGTTTCATTCCAATGTGGCAGTTTCCTTGTGCCATTTACGGTAGCCTTTGAACAAATAATCTGTTCGGAAGGATCAAAAGTCAGGCTCGTCAAACATTGATACATTTTTCTTTTCTTCTTTTGGTGGTCATTCTCAGTAAAAATCTTGAAATATGGTGAACTTTCATTGCTGCAGGTGTGCATATGAATCCAGGAACTTCCTCAGATTATTAAATCATTACAGGTACTTGCACACTGGGCCACTGTCAGTTATAACTTGTAGTGTGGAAGGGTGCCATAGAGTGCTCAAGAATGTGAGATCTTTTCAAAATCATGTGAAACAAAAGCACTCTACATTTTGGGAAAGGTACGGTAGACTACAAGATGACATTGACATCGAGGACGATCAGGAAGAAGAACACCTGCAGTCTGGATCAGATAGATCATCCGATGGTGACGAACATGAAGATGTAGGTGAGGCAAATGAGCCTGAAGTTCCTCTTGACACTGATTACAAATCGACAACATTCATTTTAGGTTTAAGGGAAAAGTTCAAAGTCAATGATCAGGCATGCAGTTTTGTTGCTGAAGAGGTACATGATTTACTTGGATTAGCAAGAGAAGAACTTCACAAAAAAGCAAGGATTCAAATGCCTCACGCACAGAAAGAAGATTTAGCAGAAATTTTCACACATTCACAAATGGAGCAATCTGTTGGTTTTTTTGGCAAAACTTCCCACCTTAATGCTTATGTCAAGGACAAGTTTCATTTTGTGGAACCTGTTGAGTATGTGATGGGAAGAAATGGAAATGGCAAAATTCAAAGTTTTCAATATGTCAGTGTTTTGCAGACATTACAGGCTCTCTTGAAGAACGATGATGTTTTTGCCCAGCTTGTTCAAGGACACCAGAATAATGAAATTATCAAAGATTTCTGTGATGGTTCGATGTACAAAGGACACACACTTTTCTCTCAGCTTGTTCCGACAATTCAGATTCAGTTGTATAATGACGATTTTACGGTTGCAAATCCCATAGGCAATAGAGTCAAGCAACTGAAGTTTTCTGCTTTTTACTTTACCCTTGGAAATATGCCACCTCAGTTCAGGTCAAAGCTGTGCTCCATTCAGCTTGTGTTACTCTGTCCTTCAGAAGTCATTTCTGAATATGGAATTCAACAAGTTCTGACTCCTTTGACAGAAGATTTAAAACTCCTAGAGTCAGTTGGCATAAACATTGAAAAAGAGGGAAATGTGCATAATTTCAGGGGATCCATTTCAATGGTTGTTGCCGACAATCTGGCTGCACATGGCATCGGGGGATTTCAGGAAAGCTTCAATACACAGCGTTTCTGTAGATTTTGCATGATCACCAAGGATGATGTGAAAAACCATTTCCGGGACACTGGTCTTGTTCTAAGGAATAGAAATTCCTTCAATGAACAAGTAGAAATAGTGGAGCAATTGCCAGATGCTGCAAGTGTATATGGAGTGAAGAGAAACAGTCCATTGAACCAGCTAGAACACTTTCATGTTGTGGATGGTCTTCCATCGGACATTGCCCATGACCTCTTTGAGGGCATTATTCTCGATGTCATGGAAAAAGTAATTCTTCACTGTGTCCATGAAGGATTTTTCTCTCTAGAGTTCTTAAATGAACAGGTAGAAAATTTTCCTTACTCTGGAACTGACAAAACTAATAAGCCATCAAAAATGGCCACCGAAGTTGGGAAATTCAAGGTGAAACAGAAGGCAGTACAATCTTGGTGCTTTCTCCGCCTTTTGCCATTGATGGTTGGCGATAAAGTGCCTGTAGGTGACAAAGTGTGGGCAATTCTCCTCCTCCTTCAAGATGTAGTACAAGTAAGCACCTCACCTCAAGTAGATCTTGCTCTCTGTCTCTTTCTAGGAGACTTAATAGAAATGTTCTTGAAGAAGTACTTCGAGGAGTTTCCAGAGGTTTCCTTGAAACCAAAGTTTCACTACATCATCCACTATCCTAAACTAATGATGAAATTTGGTCCATTGGTACACTGTTGGACATTGAGGTTCGAGGGAAAACACCTCTACTTCAAAGAATTATCTCACCACACCAAAAATAGAAAAAACATGAGCAAGACTCTTGCTACAAGACACGAGTACTACCAAGCATGGTTGAGAACCAATACTGCTTATTTAGTGAAAGATGTCATTGAGCATACTTGTGGAAATCTTCTACCTGTGAGGCTGCTGTTACGACCAATTCAAGCCCTATTACTGCCCCTACTTGGGGAAAATGAATCTGTCTATACCGCCAAGAAAGTGCAGTGTAATGGTACATGGTATGGTCAAGGATTGGCTGTTGCTGAAGGGACAACCCCAGAAGGATTTGTTCAGTTTGCTGTGATTGAAGTGTGTTGTTTAATTCATGGGGAAGTTTATCTCGTTTGCAAACAGTCTGCAAATACTCGGTATGTACCACACATCCATGGATATGAATTTACTGTTACGGAGGAATTTGTTGTGAAGAAAGTGTCAGATCTGCTTGACCATTACTCACTTGGTGTTTACCAAAGTAACCTGGGAAGAACAAGGATAGTTGTGCCACGTCATTACATACAAACATTGGAGTTGTAAACAAGTCATGACACAATAAGAGAACAAACGTGTGATGTTTACGTGGTCAACAACAAGAAGAGAGGACTGATAGTTGCATCACTGTTGGAACACATCTTCTTTTCTTTTCACTTACCACTAATGAGGACTTTATTGGTGGCACTCTTACATTACTTTCCCATTTATTTTTTTCTTTCTGGAAGGTAGGAGGGCCTGATGTCTTGATCACAGCATAATTTTTCTCGAAGGATTTCTCAGTACTTTCTACTTTGACTGCAAAAAAGTAGAAATGTTTTTTTTACATTCAAACTTTTTTTGCAGTGTATCTGGGGATCTCTTGTTAACCTCATCTCTGTTAACCGGACCATTAATTATTTCTCAAAAATTGTCGAAAACTTTAAAAAAAAGAAGAAGAAGTAATTGCAGTATTTTAATGACAAATCGGTTTCAGTGCAAAGGCACCCATCTCTTACTCTGATTACCCTCAAGTCAAGTCACAGTTTTATAAAGACTTTGATATATCATACATGTAGAACACGGTTTGTTTTGAGCTTGAAAAATCAAATACACTGTACCTGTACATGCACTCACAAAAGCTGCTGACAGGAGCTGATCAGTTATGTATTATTTTGAAATGAAATTGCATGTACGTGTAATTCATATACATTCTCTCAACAATTGAATGTAAATGTTGATATTTCCACATAGATTCCTGTTGATCTATGGAAATCAACAAAGAAAAGTCCAATTTCAATGTAATGAACCTGATGGGAGCCACCAGGTGCGTGTTGTGGACATCAAAAAGAAAGCATCGGAGATATTCAACTTGGCAGTCGACCATGTCCAGGTCAAGATATGGGACCGAGGATTTGATGATTGGATCGATGGTGAGGATGACAATGAAGAAGTGGAGCATAACAGCAAAGTCCAGATAGCGCTTGCAGACATGGCAGATGCAGGCAGTAGGCCTATGGATGACATCCCAACCAGTGTGTCCCTTGCTTCATGTGGGTAAGTTTTTGGCACTTTTCTGGGGTGTATATTTATGTGGGTGCAAAAAGTTTGCATAATTTGAGTTAACATCATCACACTTTCTGACTCTAGCATACACTTACTCACGTAAGGGGAATTTCATGTAAATCAAATACCACAAATACATGAGAAAAGGTTAATTTACATCTGGTCAAAACATGAGAAATTGCGGAAATTGTCCACGATGGAATGATTATTTTTTTCATGGAATGTTTAATAGCTCATTACACATAGAATAATGAATTTGGATTCTTGTCACAAACATCAGACTAGGTTACTTCGATGAATTTTAAAGGAATATGACATGCAGACTGACCTTTGTTTTTAATATTGAATGAATTTTTTAAAAATCAATGGAAACTGGACAATGAAACTGTTATGCTATTGTATTAAGGTAAAGAATCTTCTTTTTCCCAGAACATCATCACCTACATTGTGTAGTTCTGTCAATTGGGTAAGGGACTACAGGCTACCAAGCTTCCCTGCCAGTATTTCTACCAAACTCGAGAACGGCCAAGCTCTAAAGGAGGGGGAGAGATCTGCGATGTTGGAGGCCATCTACAGCAGCGTTAGAAAGTACACTTAGTAAGTTAGAATCACTTATATATCTTTACATTTCAAAATTATGTAATGAAGTTCTTCAGTTGAGTCAAATTTTTTCCAAAAGTGTAAGTGACTTGCAGTATACCTGAGCTTGTCTTACATACGCAGTGTGGACTTCCGAACAAAAGACGTCCACATAATGTAGGTAGCAGCGACGAAGTGTGGACTTGCCCACGTCCACACAGTGTTTCCCCATTTCTGGAAAACAGGTTTAGAGGCATTTTTGGGTTAGGTTTATCTGTAGCAGAATGAAGAGAAACACTAAAGGGAATCATTGAAAAAAAATTGGGTTGTAAGAGTTTTCACAGTTTGAGAAAAATGAGTTTTTCCACTGGTGTTCCTTAACTACACGAAATGAAAGGAAAGTCCACACTAGGTATGTGAAACAAGTCTGTGTGTGTGCGTGTGTGTTTGTGTACACACAGTAAATCTTTGTTATGTTAGATGATCGGTACATTTGATCAATGGTACTCCAAGTAACACCCAAGTTCTCCATCTCTACTTTTTTGTTGAATTACGTCAGTAATCACTGGAAATGTCTTCCTGGTCTAGTCCATTTCTTGAGCTTCTATAACCCATTGGTCTAGTAGATTCCCCTCCCCCCAACAACTCAAGCCAAAAATGGACACAGTTTCTGTTGCATTTCTAACACTGTTTTATGTTTCCTTCTATTTCAAAACAGCTACCCAACTTCAACGCAGTACAGCCAGATTATACAGTTGTTGTTTGACCGCTTCACCAAATTGGCGGGCCAGCCAGACATGTCGTTGGATAATGCAAGAGTGAGTTACAGTTATGTGTTCATTTAAAACTCTACTTTAACATCAAAATTTGATGGAAATGCATTCCGTGTAAACACTTCAAACACTCTAAATTCCTCCAGAGGAAGAAATTGACCCAAATCTCACCAAGGTATCTTGTACAAATAGTACAATAATGTTCTCCCAGTGAAGAAGATGCTCTGTTGTGCAACATGTCTTGTTTGCAGAAGAAGCATGACAAATCTAATTGCAATTTTAATTTCTCCAAATAGTTGTCCAGTGTGTATAGTTCAATTCAATTCAATTCAATTTATTTATTCATCATGTCAGCTAAATTCTACTTCTCGGTTTGCACATAAAATTCAAATACCTTGCTGCCAAGTACTATTGGGACGTTAAATTATAATCCAACAATGACAGTTTATAAAAATAATGTCTCCTGTACATTTTCTTGAGAAATATGGTAAAGTAGAGCCATTATAGAATTGTAATGAGATTATGCAGAACTGTACAAAGACATTGAACAAAAACAAACAACTAAACAGTGCTTTTGCGCAGCTTGATCACTCGGTTTTCTATTTCATACTAAATTTTTTTTTTAAAAGCTCATCAATTATCAAGGCTCTTTTTCATATCAGGTCCTGTGGAAGTACAGACTACAGTACAAGTTTGCAAACTCACGAAGGCGTGAGGACAGTAATGTCCCTGTTGTCCTCCATCGCAAGAGGAAGTCTGCAGACAACCAACCAACAGCGGTCCAGTCTACCAAGAAAACGCCACCACAGTGGGGCATTGCTAACTACCAGCCAGCCAGGCCATCCTCAGAAGATGATGCATCCATTGCAGCTCATATCAAGTGGATGAAACAGGAGACGTCCAAACGCAAGCCTGATTGTGACAGGATCAAGATTGCAATGAGCATGACCCTTGCTGATCGGCGACAGCAAATAACAAAGGATGGTGCCTCAATCGAGACAATTCAGAAAACCTACCCCTGGCTTTTTGATGAAGAAGAGGTTGGTGGAATTTTCATTTTTGTAAATTTGACGGTCATGCCCACTTTGCTGTGGTATTGCCCAAGTATATCTTAGAGCCTTTACACTAGCTCAATCTCTGAGTTGACACAGATTTTGAACACAAGTGCCATGTTAACACTGACATGTTTGAAACCACTAATAACCCTTTGTCAACCTGGAGATTAGTTCCACTATGGGTTGAATTCAACCCTGCTCTTGACCAGTGTAGAGATTTATTTTGCCTGGGTTGAAAATGGTAGTGTGAAATGAGCATGGGTAAATTCAGCCTCAGATTGGGCTTTTTTGGGATTTTTCTACTTTGAGGTTACAAAAGTTATGCAAAAGCATGCTTTATACACCAATGTAAATAATCATTTGAATGAAATAAAAATACTGATTGAAATTGCATGTCGACTGGTATGACCTCATTGTATAATACACGTGTTCATGTTCTTTGACAGTTTTCTCCAACCCTTGTCCCACAGATCCCAATGTGCATTTGTATATCCATGACATTCCTGTCCAAGGCAGGACACATGACTCCTGCAATCAGTGATATTGGCACCCGCATAAGACTCGTACAATGAATAGTCTTACCTCCCTGGGTAAACACTATCTATAGGTACTTGGCACTGTGATGGGTTTTGCTATGGCCACCTCGTTTGCATGCCTCTTCATGTGTGACCAAAAAAAACCCTGTCTGTTTGCCACATCACCTTGTCATCCCTGGATCTGGTGTCAAGATACATCTGGACCACATTAATTTCTTCCACAGGACCATGACGTTTATATCAGAGTATGTCACAATTCACCATGTGATTCGCACTCTAAGACAGGTATAGTATTCAGCCTGGCACTGCGACTCGAAAGGATTTGTCCTAATGATTCTGATTTCTCCCATTATACACAGGTACTGAAGAATTGCTTGGTTGCCAGTGCATGGTCACAGATTCCGCCAATTGCCGGACCAAAGCTTTCTCAAGAAATTGTTTACCAAAATACATTACTGATAGCAGTTAGAAGGACCTGACATCCTGATCTAAAGAACGTCTTTCTCTTTCTGAGAAAATCAGCATCCACTTTTTACATTCAAAAATCCTTTCTAATCAACAGATGCAGAATGAATTTAAACGCCTTCACGAAGAGGGGATAAAAGAACTCCTCGAGGCAGGATTGACGAAGTACGGGAGTGCCATCATAGAGCTTAGTAGGAACTTGAAAAAGGAGCAACCCTGTCTTCAAGAGGCTCTGTCAGCCATCGGTCTTCAGCGTGAGGAGAAGAGTCGAAGAGGTAATAATATGTAGGTCCATTTTGATGGGTTGTTTGTGGCCATAATGTTGGCAATGTTTAAGATATTATCTGGTGTGTATATGCAAGTAGCACTTGGCTGTTTTTGAGTTGGGCTATTTTATTAACGTTAGGACGGCCCCATGTTTTACTCCTAGCAAACATTCTTTTTATGGGCTATATCTTCATCGAAAGATTCTGCTAGGATTGAAATGTCGCGCCCTCCTAATATTATTCATTAAAATTTCAGGTCATTTTAGTTGGCAGTTGTAAATAAAATGAACTTTTTTGATGAGTTTTGGGTCCATGCTCTAAATTGGATGTCCTGCACAGGGGACAATAAGTCATGGGCCTCTGTGTACACAGGCTCGATCTACTTTTGTATGTCTCGGGGGTGGGTATAAATGCATAAACAAAAAACAACTTGTTGCTCATTTGTGTTAACTATAGGCTAAAACATTGCATTCACAAACACTGGAAAAAAATTGATAATGATTTTTTGATGACTCTAAATCAGCCCATTGTTTCTTATTAGAAGTAATTTTGAGCTTTTTTTTTACAGAAGCAACTTGCACTGCTGCAGCTCTTGGGATACCATGCTTGCTGAAGGAGCAGGTCAAAGACATGATCGTGTTTGGAGAGGAAGCAGTAAGTTAAACATGTTTATATAACTGACATGCAGATCCTTGTCATTTGATTGGTGGAACTCACATACATAGCATTCCTTACTGCTCCCATTTACGACAGGGCTCAAAAGTCCCATGTGTCCATGGTGAATGGGATTATCTGTTCAACACTTAGGATTATCCTTGTTCGCACGGCTTTTGAACAGTCGACCCTCACTAAATTTGCAGCAGAGCATTGCAGATCAAAACCTGAGAAGGTTGTGACCCGATTGGTGCTGCTTGACAACCACACATAGACATGGCAGGGAAGTCAACAGATGTGCCAACGTAGATGCCAACATCTTTACATTTTACCCTGACGCAAATACCATCTCATCTTTTTACCAAAAAAATCTTGATGGGGAAAAATTTGGGTAATTTTTTTGAAGATGTTTTGCTGGGTATGCCTGTCAGAGTTTTGGGCCATGTGTGCCAGGTCACTACTCCCCCCCCCCCCCCCCCGCCACCCTCGCAATCTTTAGAAATCACTACCCCTGTTGTACGTGGTCTAGCTGGTGGGGTTTTTTTTCAGCCTTAATTTAAATCACCTCAATTACATGTACAAGCCTACATTCCTCACTTGTGTTTGTTTTGTATCTACAGACAGACGGTGTGCCAATAATATGTGGTGACGAAGAAGATTTGGCCTCATGCAGCACCTTCAGTGTAGAGATCGATGGGACGATTGTGAGCTCGTCAAAAGATGTGCTCTCAGCCATGGCAGTCTACCTCGCAAGTTTCTATGTTTTCAATTTAGCTTACCCCACCCGTCTCAAGAGGACACTGACATTTTTCCAGAAGGGAGTTCTTAATATCCAGGATAACTTGAAGCCTGAGAGAGTTGTGATCTCCCTTCTGGAGAAACTCAGTCAACTCATGTAGAATACATTTAATCTTCATGTAAACGTGCATGCAGTTTATTGGAATAAGCCCCTTACTTTCTTATCAAAGCTGTGTTTGCAATGGACTTACTTGTTTTTTGTGTGAAATGTATCTGGACGATGTGAAAATTTCCAATGGGTAAATCCTGCCGTTTGTTTGCACTTGGATGTTTGATTGGAGGGATCTTACCCAGAGTATAAAATACATATAACTGAGCTGGCCAAAATTCCCCAAGCAATATTATTCCCATTTGTTGTAACGTTTGACATGTTTGATCAGGTTGAACATTGTTCACTGAAACCAGTGAATAATAGATTGTTGCAAATTACAAGATTTCTAATGTTATCCATATTATATCTGACATGACATCAAAAGTCAACACGTACATAGTACATGAGCACAACAAACTCCTGTGCAGCGCATGCTCAGAGTTCTTGTGCATTGTGACCTTGCTGTGGTGGAATGTACAGGTTTCCATGCTGTTTACCAACTCGCACATTACTGTCTTAGTAAAAGTAGCCACTGGATACAGGCAAGCATAACTGAGAGGGGAGTTCCCAGGCTGTCCACACTGTACTTGAAATGGGTAAAGTAGCCATCATCTCAGACAGTTTAACTATAACATCCAATGCAAGCATGGCTTAATAACTTAAACTGACTTGACCCTCATAACAGCGGATAGCACATTAATTAATGCAAAACACTGTTATCTTTTGGAATCTTTTCACTGTTTTACTGCACTTTGAACTGTATGTAAAGCAAAAGGTTTTAAATGTTTTTTAAAACATGTTAATACGTTACTGAAAAAAGATCAAGCAGCTGCAAATTTTAACGGCACTCATGATTTTCCATAGAAAACACTCCTGAAAGACTTTCCATTGAGGTCAGAGATGCTGCAAATGAAATGAAAAGACTTGAATTGGGTCACTGCACATAAAAATACCCTGATGTCTTTTAGAGTTTATTACAGAAAGCCTTTGGTATTTTTGCTCAACTCTTACAGTTTGTTTACTGGATCACATACATGTATGCAGCATACATTCATCAGCATTTATAAAATATTGTATTCAAATTGTAAAGTTTCACGCCTGATTATCTTTGCGGGACAATTTTACTTATTTCTCCAAGAACTTGTTCTTGTTTTTTAGATCAAATTTTAATGTGCATTCAGTTTTCCAAAGTATCAGTGCTTCTTTGTTCTTTTGGCATCAAAGTCCTAAAATATTTTTTTTAGAGGGTTGGAAATCCATGTAATGTTTGCCACCCTCCCACCCAATGCTCATAAATTTATAGAAACACAGGTTTTATCATTTTGGGGACTTTCAGTTTAATTTTTCATTACATGAACTTTTGTTAGATTAATTGAGCTTTTCTAAAGTACCAGTCATACATGTATAGTGTCACTCTTTAGAATGAAGTGCGTGCTGAATTAAAGTCATGCTTCATACCCAGTTAATGAACTTACCAAAATTGAACAGAATATGTATTGATTTAGAGATCGAATATGTTCCACTTTAGAATGCATACCCTCTAAACCTCAGAAAACGTCAGGTGTATTCAAAATGTATTTCATCGTTCAAGGCATATGGGAGCACATTTCAAACATTTAAGAAGCAAATCATTGTACACCTGCAAAGCACTCTGTCGTTGATTACTTGTTGAAAGTTCTTAATTCAGTTTAATGTTATCCAGTATAACACATATGAAATTCTGGGAGCTCCATCCATTCATTTGTTGTACAATGTATTTATGAATTGGACAGGAAAATGTTATCCAATTAAATGGCATGTTTCACAGGAAACTGATTTCAGTTGTCTTTTTGTCTCTTGTCTTACAGGTGGAGTATGAGTATCATGCAGTGGCAGATCCAGAGAGCAGTACTTTGAGTGGCATGCATAATAATCCCAATTCCTCTCCTTGGACCAACAATAGTACAGCGTTCACGTACTGAACTTTGTGTGCAAATTAGTCTTCATGTGCTGTGCCACTCTACCCCCACCCCCTTCTCCATCATTCATAACCTTAACCACTACCAGCCCCCCCCCCCCCCCCGAGGAAAACCAGTCCAGTCATGGACAGCCCCCCCTCAAAACCAGGCCCCACTACCCCCCCCCCCGCTACTATGGATCTGCCACTGCCGAAAAGCTGTATAACTAATGTGATCATTTCAGATTTCTGAATTACTAACTGTTAATCACTCAAAGCTAATTAGTAACAAGACTATTGTTATTAGTCAGAGGTTTAACTACTAAGTTCAAGAGTCGCTGGACTTAAAATAAGTCATTTAAGACTAGTTTCTGGTATTGTCGTATGACTAATAGTTTCTTGTCGGGATGTGACAAAGTTTTATTAGTAATCAAACTCCTTCTGACTACTGTTAATTAGTCAAAGCTAGCTAGTCACCCGACTATAGCATCATTAGTCACAGATTTAATTACTAAGCGCGAAAGTCGCTGGACTCAAGATTAGTCGTATGAAGCGGGTTTTTATCTTGTCATAGGACTAGCGTATTCATGTCAGATGTGACAAATTTTCATTAGTAATCGACACTATGTGACTTGTTTTAATTAGTCGTATGAGACACTGTTGTGGACTAATATTTTCAAGTCAAATTGACGAATTAATTTTAACAGTGAAGGACGGATCCAGAACACACTTTTGTGGGGGGGGGGGGGGGGGGGGCTGTACAAATCAAGCTAGGCCAAACTAACAGCTCTAACAGCATGTTGGCACCAATTCTCGAGGGCGTCATTCGCTTCTCAAAGTAGGGGTATCTTGATCAGTACTGAGTGTGCGAGTGCGAAGCCTCCTTTGCTGCTTTGTATCCTTTGGAAAAGGCGCTTTATAAATACGGTTATTATTATTATTATTTAAAAGGCGCGGGGTTCAGGGCCCGCTTAAGGGCCCCTGAAAAAAATGGATTGTAGGCGCCCCGTGGTGCGACCTGAGGCAATTTCCGACGACTGCCAAAGTTTTAGCACAAGATCATCATTTAAACGCAGGCTACATATTTTTATTCAGGGACGAAAATCGTTGAGGAACGACATCAGTGCCCTGAACGACATCAGGGCAAAACCTGATTTGATCAGTCCCGGGCCCGTTCCCCACCGATCGACGCCCTTGGTTGGCACCGTGCTTCAGAACGACAGACTTTACACGTACATTTTATACGCAGGGCCAATGCACACAAAATCGAAAATTCTGAGAGAGACCCTAAAACTGTTTTAAAAACTTTTCTCTGCGCGTGGGTGTGTCTCCGTGGGTAGGCCTATGTGTTTTATGGCACACTGCGGTATGTTCGTAGGCCCTCCCCCAAGTTTTGGTAGGCCCCTAAAGTTTTCGTAGGCCCTAAGCACAGTGCATGCCCACTGTGCCTATTGGGTAATCCGGGCCTGCTTCCGGAGGTTGATAAATGACGACAAAGTGGCTCCCTTATTTCACCAAATTTAGGCCTACACCCAACTACTTCGTGGGATCTTTGGCACAAGTTTTCGTAGCCTCCAAATGGCCCACCCCTGCTGACAATACCCCCTAAACAAAGTAGACATGCACAAATTCCGAACGATCCGTTTATTTTTGGTCACACGCAACGTCATGTTTGTTTTTCCAAACAAATCCAAGTAAAGCCGCTTTGGCAGAACCGGCAGATTGGTCACGTGAGGCTCAGCCTTCCTCGTGCAACGCTCTCCCACAAGGTGAATACATTTTATAATACGAATAGCCTTTAATTAAAAGATGCCTCCTAAGTACCAATAATGTTAATAATTATAATATAGGCATGGGCGGATCCATGAATTTGTGCCGAGGTGGGGGGGGGGGGGGTCATCAGCAACTCATTGCTGAAATGGAAACAGGTTGGTTTTGTCTGGACGCTTGGCCTCGTAAAATCAATTGGGGGGGGGGGGGGCGATATTCAAATCCGACGATTTGACACAATATTAAAGAATTTTGCACAAAATACCCCCTGACAAAGCTGGCTCTCTCCGTATTTTGTGCACTGGCGGACATTATTACTAGTTCAATTTTTTTGAGTGTCAGAGTATGGGGGGGTGCATTCTTTTGAATGAATTTCTATGAACCAAAAATTTGACAGAGTTGTTTTTTTTTAACCCCCCCCCCCCCCCCCCCCCTGTATAAGCCCGCTCGCAGCGCCGCATGGGATTAGAACGATAGAGAGGCTTTCGCTTCGGTGACATTATGCAATGCCTGATTAAATCCCCGTCATCTAATTGGTGGGTCGCGGATCACATGTCATTGAATAAGTAGTCCCGGCCAAGCCGCACCGTAAATATAGAAGTTCTGTTTCACGGTGAGGAGTTATATTGCACAGTCACTCTATGTTAGGTGGCTCTGACCAATGACGAGGATATATTCATGTGCTGTATAAAGTAAATAATGAATGTTTCACATTCGTGCAAAATGATGAGGTGACAGATGGAATGTTCCATTCCACGAGGCGAACTTTCCATCCGTCACCTCATGAAATTGTTCTTACACCACTGCACTCATAAACATTCATTATTAAACCATAGAGCTAGCAGGCCTACGTTTCTAAACTGAATTACCAATCCAACCGAAAGCCAGTATCTTATATTTTCGCACCTCTTTGCACTCGGCCCTAAACAACTCTGATTAGTTTTTAAAGTTCATTTCACTTCAGGAAAAATTCGTCATCATCTAAAACGCGCATGGTGTCACATGTGGTTCGGCACCGTAAAAGACCAAACATTTGCCTGAACATGTGCATTTGAAAGTCACCTGCACGGGAACAAAGACATTTCATATACCTCCCTCCCCTCGCCCCCCCCCCCAACATTCTTAAGGTATTGTGTGAGCTGTAGGCAATGTCTAGCCGACCGTATTTTTAAAATCAATCCTCAGCTTCACACACCTGCAAAAAAAACCAAAAAAAACTGAGGGGGTAAGACAAGAACAGGTGGGTGTCTGCTTGTTGTATCCTGACATCTAAATATTTTTGTAGGAGAAAAATACCAAAACGGCCTAACACAATGGTATGGGAATACTGGAATTCCATCCTTGCGGCGGTATAGGCGCCTGCGACGTACTTTGGTATTTCGGCAGTTACACCTTAAAGGTGGGTCAGCGGGTTGGTAGTACAGATTGTATATGTTCCCCATTGGCGGATCCATCAGGCCTGGGGGCCAGCGGGGCCATCCCCTCAACATTTTTTTTTTAAAGGGAAAATACAACATTTGCAAACATCAAAAAATAAAACTACCAAATCATTTTGAAATACTTGCTTGACTGTTAGTGAATGAAAGTGTAAAGCATCCTGTAAAATCATGGCACCTGGTATACTGTCATTTTCAAGAAAAGTGGTATTTTTGTATCAATTTCCAACGCTGATCGGCCGATCAGCGTTGGAAAAAAACTGTTTTTTTTTCTTCAAATACTGGCCCCAGTTGACCATCGCACTTGTTTGCAATCGATTACACACCTATGAACGGGTACAAGCCAGCTAGACTGGTTCCCTGACCTTACAATTCCCCAATATATGTAAACTGCTCTGTTTCTTCTTAAATGGAGTCAGGGAACCAGACTACAGGAAAATGATTGTTTTTCTTGGTTTTTATAGCATTTTCGAACCCAAAACCTCAAAAAAGTCAGTGTAACTATATTTGCTATATATTTTCAACCCCCCAATTCCATCCATTTCTGAAAATTACAGCAAAAGCAAATGATGTATATTCCCTTTAACCAGAGGAGTGAAGGACCCTTCTTGTCTTAAATTTTTAGGAAATAAATTTATTGTCTCCCTCGAAAGCGATCAGCTACACATGCCTTTTTTGTTTTACAATGTGGAAACAGCGCACGTCCCCTTCCCTTTTTTGAGAAAAAAATTACTTGAGCCCTCTTGGCACCCAAAAATTTGGTTCTGGATCCGCCCTTGATGTTCCTTTGTCTCTTCGCTCAGAAATATCGTCATCAAAGTTGTAGAATAATTTCTTAAATGTAATCTTGGAGCATGTGTTTTTGTACATATTTTGTTTTCGTTTGAAGCAACAAAATTACTCTATTGAAACGTAACAAGGGTGCATACCAACTAACTTTGTTGAAGTTTCAGCTCAGTGGATACTACACATTTTGACAAAACAGAGAAAACGTATGCATAATTTTTGGGGTCTCGTATAAAATGACTTCCGTTACTAATACACGTAAAAAATCGTACCCGCGCGGACATTTTCTTAAACCACCTTCAATTTTGTTCCAGACCGAATGATACCATTTTAGGCGGAATAATTTCACAGGGTAGCCTATTTGGTACCAGTCCTGTCTTCACTTTGAGCAAGGATTTTCTCGTTATCGGTAAGTACGTTTAATTGCAAATGTTAAACTCAAATGATAATTGCTGTTCACCTTCCCGTCACTTCGATGGTTCGATCGTCTATTTCGATACAGAAGTACAGAGCTCCGCATGGTTCTAATGAAGTTTGGTGCATTACATTGAAAATACAATTAAATACATGACACATTTATTTGGAGGGGACAACTAAATGTCATTGGCAACGACCACATTATATTATTCTTTCTCTTGCTGGCATGACTGTGGAATTTCTCGCACGCATCACGTCAAAGTATTTACGTACATTGTACTATGACGTCACTTCCCTATGTGGCATACCCCTTACCGTGCCCCACTTCAGTAGCTATTGGGTCATCTGTGCTCGGCAACGTAATTCGGCGCTCGCTGCCACCAAACATGGCTAAGGTTAGCGCCTATTTTTTTTTATAGTGAAGTGTAAATGACGCCTGTGGTGACAAAGTGAGCATGCGCAGGTGCTTACCGAGTTTGCTTATCCAGCTCTCCCCATGCATGAAATTTGCCGAAATGAAAGTGCTGACTGATGCAAATGTGTCCTGCTGAAACTGTAAAGAATTTGCTCGAGAAATTGCTTGAGCGCACGCCCTTTAAAGACACACGGTGGGGCAACCGTACATCCTACGGCGCAACATCTGTCCATCTTGGGTTTCACTCATTGCGCGGTTCGGATCATGCACGGTGACTCGGCGGTCTATAATGATGGGAGCCCAGCGAAGTTTGGTCGCTCGCTAGCAACCAACACGCCCTGCGGTATCCGGACGCGCAGTATTTATCGGTCACTCGTCGCAGGCGCGTGTGCAGTCACACTTTGCGCTCGGCAGCACTGTACACAATACACACAGTTTGTCCACCTGTGAGCGAGGAATCTACTGCCGAGGTCCCTGTGCTGTGTGTGCGTAGATAGTTTCATTACACAACTGAACTGACTGTTGTTGCGCAGAGAGCTCAACCTCAAGACGTTCATTGGTTTGCATCGGAGAAGGTGTCAGACGTGATGGTATTTGTAGCGTCTGCATCATCATTATCGCCACTGCGACCATCATCTTCATCAGCGGCATCGTGGGGAGTCCCCTACTTCCAGACGGCACCTGTGGTCGGCTCGTCAAAGCGGCCCGCCATCACACGAGACCGCCCCCGCGTGTACCTGCCGAGTTTTCGCGGACTGTTGTAATCCGGTGTGCCCGTAAACAAGAATCATCCTTTCGTTTTCATCGGTGTCACACCTCGACCGAGATAATCTTCATCTGAGTGGGACGGTCACTTGAATAGCAAACCCCTGTGCGGATGCTAGAGTATTGAAGTAACCTGCACTGATTATCGCTCTTTCGTCTGCAAATCCTCACTGAAAAAAAGCTATAAACCAAACGGGTTTTCCGGATCTCAATAACACAGAGGAAGACAATAAGCCAACACGGGTGGTTTCAATTTTAGCGACTCATAGACGTCACTGACTGGCCTTCGGTGGTTGTTTTGAACGTGTGATCCTCGAAGTGGAACATCTCATCAAAGAGGGAATAATTGAACCCCCACCCCGCCGAAAACTGAGCAGTCACAGAAAGAGGATAGCCATCTCGGAGCATTGGACACCAATAAGATCTCAGTGCCGAGTTGAGTTTAACTCTGATATTTATTCGGATCCTAGTACTCGTGGCAAGGGAACACCGCGGACACCAACTGCAACTCACGATGGATGGTATCGTAACCAAGCCCAACAGTGTGCACTGGAAGCGACCCTCGTGGTACCGCCGCCGGACCGGCCTGGAGCGCCGTCTACTAGCCCTCTCCGTACTCTTGAGCGTCGTCGCCCTGTCCTTGGTCGCCGTACTACTCCACGAGCATATTACGGACAGAAAAGGTAAGACATTTTTTTTTTACTTCAACCTGTCCAAGCATTTTACCTGCGTTGCATCCCGACAAATATCGCCCAAGAACAATGCCCCATCACCAGAGCGAAACTAAAGTCCATTTCCACCTGCGAAATTACATGACAGCTTTGACAATTATTGACAAGCCATTGAAGAGACACACGATTACCTTATATAGTTTCGGGTGAGCGGGCGCGTGCGGGCTCGTGAAAGAATTGTGTCAACACATCGACAAAAGCTTTATTTGTCGTCATTTAATAAATAAAAAAATCGGATTGATTCTCAAGTAAAGTCGTCACAACTATGTTGATCTAGTTTATGGATAAACATTCCTGAGGTATCAAAACAGATCTGTGGCGATAAGAAAAGATGGCCTCAAAAGAATGCGAATGACCGGACTTCAGTACGCGGTTCTTCATCGCGATTTTTTTTTTAATAACAATAAATACGGATACTACTATCGCAAGGTCACAAGGCGATGAACCAATTTGTTTTTCAGCGGCATTTTTCGCATAACTGAGCAGCAGTGAAAATAGTATGGGACTTGTTACTCGCATGGTTAGACCCTCGAAAAGAATTACACAACGGGAGAGTTTGACGTTATTTTTTGACGAATTCTGAGCGGGGATTAAAGTCCGAGTGTTAACAGAGTGCTATACAATCATTGATGTTCTGTTGTTCCATGACAAAAAATAACTGTTCTTTTGTCATCCAATTTCCAAAGTGTAACAACTCAAGGGGAATTTAACAGTTTTTAAATTGAATTATGAAGCTATTTTATCTTTAAGTTTTAAAATAAATTAAACATCAAAATACTCCTTGTTTAATTATACGACCCGAATGGACTATAACAGAAATCACCCGGCCCTATGTCGATACGCAACCTTGTAATTAATTATCGTCCGCCTTCGGTTTTGCTGGCTGCACAGGATGTCTTTCTCCTTTTGTAAAAAAAAAAAAGATATGGAATATTGTCTTCAACAGCCGCGTCTAAAACGATGGAGGATCAAGCTGATACACACCTGATAAAGTGCGAGTGTCTTTTATGCAGGATATTTTGCCGTAATTATTTCTCCGTGATAAGTCTGTCAAGGAGTTTGAAGTCTGTCAAAGAGTTTGAAGATTTTAGAACCCACACTTGGGAGTACGAACGCAAATCTAGCCATGGGTCATGATACTGGTGTTCATGTCTCGAAGCATGGAGCGCTGTGGTCCAATGGTTACGGTGTTCGATTATAATGTGCCACGGTACGTGGGCTGGAACCCTGTCGGGGAACATGATGCAGTCGGGAAACATGACCCTTACAATCGTCTCTCTCCACCCATGAGTATAAATGGGTACCTGTGAAGGCTCATCTGGAGCTGCTGCAGAAAATTCATCTCATTTCTGATGACTTAACAGGGATACTAATTGTAAAGCGCTTCGAGACCTTTGTTATAAAGCGCTATATAAGTATTGCATTAGTACATTATTATTATGATACTTTACCAAAGTAAACATAATATCTAAACACTTCTAATGAGGTCGAAGATCTTAAGTTGATTGTGTCGACCTGATCTCCTTCCAACACAATCTCCACCATTGCAACTTGTACGAAATCCTCCCGGGTCATTTATTATGCTGGTACTAGCTGGGTTTTCGACTCCCCGGATTTTGTTTTTAAAACCTTGGCCTCCCACACCTAGGCAGAAAATACAGTCCTCCTCGGCGCAATCGCCGCGGTTTATAATGAACACTTCTGCCCGTTTGAGAGGCCGTGTAATAATTAATTGGCGGACGCTAGGCACGCGTTGTCAGGGGTGGCTGCGATATTCCCTATTAGGTCACCAACGCAGTAGGCATACACGCGCAGAAAGGCAAGAGGTGACCATTACAATCTCGTGCAGGAACGTGAAATTACAACGAAACAAGCGGAAATAACAAGCAGGGGTGTAATGAGAGACATTCTGTCTTGTTTAAATTGATAATTAGGGCTTATTTAATTTAACACAGTAGAATGGTTGTACAATTACAACTTATTGGTTATTGTCAGAATGCTGTGAAGATCTGTAACCAAGTGAGTATTGCCCCGCTGCGATTCATAAGTTGTGTTGTTTTGTTTTGGTAATAAGGCAATATATATATAAAACAGCTCCTACCGCAAGGAGTAGTAAACCTATTTTTTAAATACTGCACCCCACCCCTCAATAACCATGCAGTGCATCTTGCACAACCGAGACTCGACAGAGATGCTGCAGCAATTTTTTTTTTTTGGGGGGGGGAATGATATAGCGTATCTTTGCCCATGTCACATAGGCTTATTCTAAACAAGGCGACACCATGCAAAGGATAACATGTCTTGCTGGTTTGAAGCGAGCTGTAATATAATTGTAAGTTAAGGTTTTTATCAGTTGTATAAGAATTTCAACTCCATCCAATTCCTATGAAAATTCCGTGTGTGTTAGCTTTTACGGTGGCTTTGAAGTGACATCACTACGGTTAATTTCGGTTGCAAAATATGTAAGAACACTGCATAAACATGACAACACTGACAAAATAATCAGTATACATGGAATAACACTTAAGGCCATTACGGGAAAAAAAGGAGACAGCAGAAAGTTTGTAATAATATTATACAAACTGATGTCCTCTCTGGGCCGCCGTGACCACTCTAGACAAAGAAGGCGCGAAAGCGCCCGACTGTCTGTTTAATAAAACACACACACACAAAACCGCAATCCGAGAATTATGACAAATGAAGTCTGGGTAATTGCATATGTGACCCGTACTTTTGCTTTTATCCATCAGTCTCTCGGGGATCATGAACACTTAAGCCTTTTTGTGGCCGCACTTCAACACGCCTTGCCCGCGGCTGCCAAACAATGGCCGATCCGTCGCGAGCATCTTTCCTCAACTTGCAAGCCCCCGCCTCGCTCAAAACAGTCCAAGTATAAACAGTCTCCGTTCACTTGACGGTCAAGGCTACCGCACTTGAGATAGAAGTAAAAGTGATTGGAATTCCGGAGACTTATCAAAATAGAGACTTCAAGACGGGGAATTGTCTTTGTCCAACTGGATGAAGGCGGTCTAGATTATTTAAAGGGGCTGTCTGCATCCAGACCACGCCAGACGAAGTAATACAAAATGTAGGTGGAAGTACTCCACTAGGAATTTGTATCGCGAAGTGTTGATAACTTCATTTTGTGATGTTCAAATGAAAAAACCTCTATTTGTTATTTGCATCAAACACTAAACTTCTTGTACTTTTCTACGGAATTTATTGTCCTTCAATTCGAAATTGTGTCATCTATCGATGTTGGTTGAAAAGCCTACCAGGGAAAAAAGTTCGTCCCTGCCCGTCCTTGCAGAGCCATCCACTCGCCGAACATTCGCCCAACGTACGTCCTGCAACTCTTGAACAACAGTTTGTCTTGACTTTCTATCAGAATATTTATGGCTATTACGCCTTACTGCTTCCTTTATTGAAACCTACCCAGCATTGTTTAACATTGAAAGACCCACCTAGGGCCGGGGGCGAAATCCGACCCCCCCCTTCCCCCCCCCCTCACCTTTTTTTCCGCGATACCCTTATGATATCTCTTCTCCTGACTTTTTAGCCTCGAGTCTTGCGCATCCTTTGATACCAAAACATACAATTCTGACCATGAGTGGGTTTATACAGCGCAGAGAACTAATTACCATTGGTGCATATGAATAGTTAATTATCCAATAATTCCAAAACCCTTTAACCTAAAGACATGAAATTAATTTTCTTGGGTATGTTTATATTAAGTTGTTCTATGCACCAAGTTTCATATTTTTTCGACACTCAATGGCCGAGATTTGAGGGGGCGGAACCCGCCCCCCCCCCCAACCCCCTCCGCCGGCTGTGAGATGGTCAAAATAATCCGGCCGGGTTAAGGTTTTGTATCTCTGTTCGGTGTTTAAAAATACAAATTGTAATACACAATGTATATACAGAATAGCTATAGAGCAAGTGTTGTCACACCCACGAGCAACCACCGAGCGCTGTATACCAATGACCCCTCGTGTGTTGACTTTTGTTTCAGCGAGGCGTCACTTCTTTTCTTGCGACACCTTGCACCAGATTGCTACAGAGCCCAACTTCAAAATAATGGTTGCAAATATGCGTGGCGTGAGGCCGCTTGTTTTGGTGCGGCCCGAAAATACTCGAGGACTTTCATCAGCCCACACGCAAAGGGGAACGGTTGATTTAAGTACATGTACGTATACACTCCAAAATACGTGACGTATTGCGCATGGCTGGTTTAGCGTGTTCTATCAGAGCTATCAGAGCTAGCAATTTCATACAGTTACTCTTTCGTTTTTGAAGCAATTAGGTCTTGGACGATACAGCACACTGAAGATTAATCTGTCACCTGTACATCTGATTTAATTAATTTGAGAACAAACACTCCGTGCCTGTGACATTTGCATGAAAACATTGTAGTGCTCAAAGGAAAAATGCGGCAAGTAGAACTAACGGTTCATACCCCATAATTAACGCCCAATTAAAAAAATAAGGTTAAGTGCGAGGACTTTTTGCCATGCCTTACTCTTGATAAAAACGTAAGCAGCCTGCCCCTGTTCCACCTCTTGATTTGTCAGTGCTACCGGATATTGATTTCTGGGAATAGTGACGCTTGTTTGTCCGCAAATGTGACGTGCTAACATTTTGCAAATTGTCGAATGGATAAAAGTTAAATATCACTTCTCTTGATATTAATTAATGATCACCATTTTTGACATTTGAGTCATATATTAGCCTTTAATACTCTCCCACTTCATACGCAAGAATGGTCTGCGCAATATTGAAGTTTTTACACACTTGAAACAAGGCCTAATTACGTCACTTTGTCAGTGATGACGTAAAGCGATTAGTTGACAATCATCCTGGAAATTAAAAGTACTGTTGATTTTGCCTTTCCAATTGTTTAAAAAAGTTTGCCTGATCCAGCTTAAAGGTAATATACAACATTTGCAAACATC